AATCTCCACAGGAGATGGTGCCTTTGAAGTGTGTATGCCACTTTCTGTTTTCCAATGTTAACGAATAATTGCCTAGATGAGATTGCCCAAAAGAGCAGATCATGAACAATCTACCTGTTTGGTATTAATAAGTTTCTCTTTGCTTGTACACCACACTGGATCACCTGGGATCTTCATGACTGGTGATGCCTTCTTTCCACCCCCAGGCATTCTAAGACAGCGGACGGGGATGCGGCCTGGGTCTCTCACTGATTTCAAGCTCTCCAGACAATGGTGATGTATGGGAATGACTCCTTCACTAACAGGTGCTCCGTATTTGTCGGTGAATAAGAAGACAGATAAATTCTCAAGCTGAGTGTGGTAATGTAATGTCTGCAACCTCAGAACTCTGGAGGTAGATGCTGGCAGAACTTGAGTTCTAACTCAGCCTGTCCTGCAGGGGGAGATCCTGTCTCAAAACAAACAAACAAACAAACAAACAAATAAACAAATCAAGAACTTTATTAAGTTCTTTTTCACTAATGTCTTAAAGCATTTCCAGGGGAAATTGTCTCCTAGCTTCCCAAGGTTAGCATTTCTGCATGCTTTGTATTGAGAATACTAATATTTCCATGTCGCTTTTCATCCTGTCAGATTTTGCAAATCTTACAGGAATTGTGGGTGCCTGGCCAGCTTCTGTCTCTTCACTTTGCTCTCATAGCTCCAGCATCTCCTTCCTTCTTGTTCCACATGAGAATGGCCCTTCCATCTCATGTATGCCTTCAGCCAGCACTCACTGCTGAAGACCGGCTATATTTAAACGGCACAAGAGTTTGCAATCAGTTTTCCCTAGGAAATTTGATTTCAAGAGCAGCATGACTATCCAGATGAAATTAAAGAATTCACAGTTGATAAAATTTCAGGGTGCTGGGTAGCATGTGGGTAACTTGTGCATCACTTCAGTACTGGTCCTTTTAAGTTATTAACCTCACTCGTAGAATGGTTTTTAATTACACAACACCACACAGAAAGCACAGAGACTCCTCTTAGAGTTTTCATCTTGGATGTGCAATCTGAGATTGCTCCAGCACCCTACTAGCAAAATCCTCTCTAGATTGCCGCCCGCTGCTTTAAACTGTTGAAAGAGTTAAAGGTGTACCGTCTCAAAACATGCCAAATTAGTATATTGATTATTTCAAACTGAAATCAACTGGAGAGGTGTAACTTGAGAAAAAGGTAAATACTCCGTGATTTCCTGAATGTTGTGAGCCATAATGAGTCTTTCCAGGCGATGTCCTTCCCAAGGTTAGAAATTAGCACCCACCACCAGACACCCACGACAGTGAAGTAACCTAAAGCCTCCTCTAGTTTGTCCAGCTGCTCCCATGCTGCAGAACCATTAGTAACAACATAGAATTGATTATCTAAGACTAGATATTTGTTTATCCTGTCATTCCCACACAAATTTAAGTATCTTGTGGTACAAATATAACTTGTCTAATGCTTGCACAAATTTTTGCTTCTTTGTCCAAAATGTATAAAATGGTTAAGCTTCGGTCTTCTCTGTGGACTACTTCTACGCTGTGCTCCAGGCAGTCAGCTAAAGAGCCTGTAAGAACCGAAGGTTGTGCAGGAGTCTGCTCCTCCCTATATGATGAGTGTTAAAGAGGGAGTTAGTAAAGCTCCCAGGAATAGGAAATTTACTAGAACTTTAGTTATCACATTAGCAGCAAGAACAGCAAAGCCTGGGGTTAGCCTAGCATGCTTTGGAGTTCATTCTCTTCTAATGGTTCCATCGTTTTCATCTGTCATTTTTTGTTTTGTTTTTGTTTTACCTTTTAGCATACTCAATGGGAACACCAACAAAATAGAACCTTCACAAGATTATACCCACCTAGCATACTGATCTTCAAAGGCCTTCCTTCCAGCAATAGCTAAGATGCTGAAAACCACCCCTCCATAATGCAGGCCAGAGAGAGCAGCACCAGAGGGGTAGCCTGTCAGAGCAAGCTGTTGACCCTTGCTAACAATGCATTCTTGTTGGTAGCACGGCAGAAATTCTTCACTTGAGGCTTGCACAAGACCATAAGGCCTTCAGGTAACTCTCACTCATTATTTCTTTATCTCCTACATTCCTGCTTTTCATGAACACGGCAGCTTGGAACATCAAAGAAAACAGGGTACTTACTTATCAGCTTTCTAAGACAGTCCTGGTATATACATCCAAGGTCAGTGGAAGATCTGGGTTTTCATTAATCCTAACAATGAGCAGAAAAGAAAGAAGTCCAACCACACAGATTCTTTCACATTCAGAGGCTCATGATAAATGGTTTTCAGAGTTAGGGATCCAAGTCACCAGTTGTCCAATTACAGTGGTTCCATTCAAAGGACAGATTATGAAGTAGTAGAGAATGTTATCTTTATGAAAACTCAGGACACCATATTTGGTAAAGTTCTGTTTTCTTAACATTTCCATTAGTCTGCCAGGTATTTGTCTACATGCTTTTATCAAGCCACAAAAGCAGCCAGAAGCACCAGCTATCTAGAGATAGACTTAGAATAATTGTTGAACTCCATTATCCTTAGGATAAAAAGTGCAGCATAGCCAATGTTTCCAAGATGCTTGCAAAGAAAAACATGATAGCAACTTCCCAGAAGGGGTTGTTTAATTAATAGAAAATTTATCAGTGATCAGAAAGACACTGTTCTGAAATATTTTTGTTCAAGAGGCAAGGGAGTGAGCCATAATGGAGCCTCCGGCATCGTTAATTGGTTGTGGTGAAGAGCAGTGATAGTGTGGAGAAATAGTTTCATCTGAGAAATTATCTTCTAGAAGAAAAATAAGGGGGGAGGGGTTCATTCCACTTTGTGTACTAACCTAGTATGGACAAAAGGATTTTATTTCTGCACCATTCAAGGGTGACGTAGGGACTCCGCTTGAGAAGAAAGTGTCCTTGACTGACTCTAAACCCACTGCAGTAGGATACTGTTGTTGAGAGTATGTGTGGTTAAAATTTAGTTCTTTTGTTTTTATTCTAGACAGGGTCTCTCCTCATAGCCCAGGGAGTCTTGGAACTCAGAGATCCACCTGCCTCTCCCTCCCCTCCTCCCCCAAGTGCTGCCATTAAAGGCATTTGTCACCGCTGCCCCTGTAGTTACATTTTAAGCACGAAGTTTAACAAGTTCTGAATATACTTACATTAATCTGTTTGCTCAGCATAGAATGGGGAGAACTGGAGGGTATTGAGCAGTATCCGTTTTTTCTGGTTTTGCTCTGTGAGTTGTAGAGATCTATAATTTAGAACCATAGAGATCCATTTGGAGAATTACCCTAAACTAACAAACAATTCAGCTTCAGATAATGGCAGGAGAAAAGCTTCCAAATCTTTGCCTTAATATTTTAGCTTTTGAGTTAGGGAATTCAAAGGAAAATAATGTGGATGTCAGCAATTCCCTGAATGGGAAATGGAATAGGATTAAGATGGCATCAACATTATTGCTAAGGCTGCTTACTTACTGTAGTTTGTATACATGCACTAAAAATTAGTTCTGCTATTAGGTTTCTGCCCTGCTTAGTCAACTTTATCCATGTTTCCTTATTAAATATCTGATTTTTGAAAGTTTCAGTTATGTTTAAGAAGAAATATCTTGTTCAATTGATGTACTACTCCCTACCCCACTAAGTTCCAACACACTTGTGGAATTTATCTGAACAATAATCGTTAGGCCTAGGTGGGATATAAGTTTTGCAAAAACTATAAAGAATGCATAAAAATTACAGGAGGTCATTTATTGCTAGTTCTAACACAGATAGTTTTGAGTAATTCCAATATATCCCTCTAAGAGCCTACATATTTACTTTTATCATTTTGACTGGTCAAAACCGGTCTAGATCCCCAGCTTTGGAATTTTTGTTAAGAATAAGCTGTATTTTATCTGAGCCTTTTTAAGTGGCAAATCTTCAGGATTTGAAGCTAGATTTGGTTTTTTTTTTTATTTATTTGAGGGAATAACTTGATGATGCCGTCATCTAATTGGATACTTTAAAAAAACGGTGGTCAAAAACTAAATTGCAAAGCTCAAATCATGAGACATATTTTCCTCTGTGGCTCACAATCAGGCTCTCATGGTAACATCAAGGGGAAAAGCTTACTAATATTTAAGCATAGACAGTGGTTAGTGTAAGTCACAGGCCTTTGCTCTGAACTGGTAAGATTAGTTTGGTCATAGAGTTCATGGTACTTTATCTTGGTTGTCATTTTGGATCTGGAATCAACGAAGAGACACGTCTCTGGGCATACTGGTGAGAGATTGCCTTGATTTCAATAATTGAAAGGCCTACCTTGATATGTTATGAAAAACACATGGAACAAAGCAATTTCACTAAGGAAGGGTAGATTTTGCACCATGCTTCAAGATGAACTCTATTATGGTAGAGAACTCAAGGTAGCAAGAGCTTGACACAGTTGGTGGCATTGTATCCACAACCAAAACTGGAGAAAAAATCATCTGTATCCTCCTCCCTCTCCATCTTGATGCAGATGTCATGTGACCAGCTGCTTTACACATCCGTGGTCCTGACTTCCCTACCGTGATGGAGTAGCCCTTGGACTTAGGTGCCGAAACATAACACCTTCCTCCTTAATTTTCTTTTGTCAAGCCTTTGTGGTTGTCATTTTTTTTTCATTTATTTTTTTAAATCACAGCACTGGAGAAAGTTATTATAACAGAGTCTGACAGTGCAAGCCCAGATTTGCATTTTGTGCCTGGTCTTGTATCTTGTTAGGCTGTGTTCCCTGGCTGTTCCTGAGGCCTGCTCTTTTCTGGGGGAGGCAGAGAAGGGGTGGATTTTGGGGAGAGGGGAAGTTGGATGGGTGTTGGGGCTCTCAGAGGAATGGCGGGAAGGAAAAACCACAGTCTGGATGTACAGAAAACGAAACCCTGCCGGCAGCACAGGTGGCGCTTGCCTTTAATTCCAGCACTTGAGGCAGAGGCAGGAGGATCTCTGAGTTTGAGGCCAGCCTCGTCTACAGAGTGAGTTCCACGACAGTAAGGACTACACAAAGAAACCCTGTTTTGGAACCTCTGCTTCCAAATAGAAGGACTGATTTGCATAGTAGTTATGAAACGATTGCCTTTGCAACCACAAGCAACTTCTAATTCAAAAGTCCGTCCTTTTCATCTTCACAAGGGAAGATGAGTAGTGCTAGAAGAATGTAACTCAGTGGGACAGTGGGTGCCCGCTGTCGTAGGTTCAATCCCCAGGACTCTGAAAAATAGGATGAAAAAAAATCCACATCACAGAATTACAGTAAGAAAGAGACATGATAAAATGCTTTATAAGATAAAATACAAGTTTTTTCTTATTGATAATCACTTATGTTTCCAAAGTGTTTGTTCTGAAGGGTGGTTCCATTTACATGAAAACATTGAATCTTTTTCTCAAGAAGGAACTGACTTTAGCAGTTATTTATTTATTTTGGTTTTTAAAGACAATGTTTCTCTGTGTAGCCCTAGATGTCCTGGAGGTGGCCCTGTAGACCAGGCTGGCTTCAAACTCAGGAAATCTGCCTGCCTCTGCCTCCCTAGGGCTAGAATTAAAGGCGTGCACCACCACTGCCTAGCTAGCTAGTTATTCTTTATGATATAGTTCCAGAATGCTCCATTCAGCACAGCAGGCTCTCTTAGAAGACATAGAAAGTAATGCACTGTACTTTAAAATGCAGAAGCTTCATTCTCCATCAGTTGTTGGCATAGAAGTAATTCTCAGTTATTGACATTCAGCTCTCGAACTTTCAGGAAACTAGTGTCTAAAGAATTGTTAAGTTATTTTTTAAATGCTAACTATAAGTATTAGTGAGACTAGCCATGATTATTCTGTTATGTCAAATATCAAAAGTAATTCTTCAGAAAAAAATTGATGACCTTAATATCATCATTCTTGAAATTCATCCATGTGTGTTAATAGGTGAGTGGTAACAAATAATTATATCCATAAAAAATGTGTCTAAAATAACCCAGGTTCTTTCACCATAAACTTAACACTGGGAAGCAATCAGAGTGAGCTGACTTAACATGGATCTTTGTTTCTTCTTCCTTTCTCCTTCACATACAAATATTCAAGTCCACTGCGACTATGGAAATGCCACTGCCTAGTAAAGCCTAGTAAAAAACTTAGGCTTGAACTTTCAGCACCCTCCTCATGATACTAAAACAATAGGTAATGTTACATGTAAATACTGAAACTTCAACATCTTCTCCCAATTCTTCCCTGGTTCCATCTTGATATTATGTGTCTGCATAGCCATAAGCTTTTGGCTATGGGATCAAGAGATGTGGTTATTCTGACAATATCCCTTTAATTAAGACAATGACAAAAGTTATAGGATGTATTTGGAAAAGATATTAAGACCACTGGTGAGAATAATCACATGGATAACAATGTAACATCTTTTCCATATTTGCAATGGTTACTTCCTGAAGATAAACTCTTTATTAAACTCATCTCAGCTGTGTCCATGAGGCATTTCATTTTCTAGAACTCGTTCACCTAATCATACAACATCCTGATTTTAATTTCCCAGAAAGAACCTGACTAGACTATCTCAAGTCCATACAGATTGCATCCAAAATTTTAGCAATTATTCTTAAAGGAAGGGAACAATCATTTTCACCAGAAATATATTTTTCTTTGTAATCTAAAACTAAGAATAAGACAATGGAATTGACTTAATTTAACAAATTACTTCAGAAAGAAGGCAGTGAGTCAAGAAACAGCCACCAATATTAAACTTTCACACTTAATTGTCTAAAATTTAGTTTTCATTCTTTGCTAGATAGAAAATAGCTATATATTTTTGACTTCCATTAATCTGTTCTTTCTTTTTAACATTTTTTAATAGATAGAGTCAAACAGTTTGTCTTCCATATCTATGGACACCTTTCCATGTAATTAATCAGCTTCAGTTTGAAAATATTTGGAAAAAGTTGCAAAGTTGCAAATATAATGAGCATGAACAAAGTTAATGTCCCTTGTTGTTTTCCCTAAATAATAAATCATAACAATGATTTATATAGCTTTTATACAGTATTTGATATTATAAATAGTCCAGAAAACAATTTAATTAAATAGGAGATTATGTGTAGTATGTACACAAATATAATTTCATTTTATATGAAGGACTTGGACACCCTCAGAATTTGTTACTTTGAGGGGTCCTGGAATGTCCCATGCATATAATAAGATGGACATATTATGCTATCTTTTGGCTGATTCTAGCATATAACCCTGTCCAAATAGGCACATAATACGTGCTGATTCTTACTTTGCGCTTTTCTAGGTGTTGAGACTTGACCAACAAACAGCACGCTAAAGATAAGAAACTAAGTATTTAGCCCTGAATGAGGCATTATATTCTCCACGGCTAGCTCCAAGTCTCAGAGAACATCATAGAAGAGGAAGTGGAAAGAACATCAAGCTGAAGAATGGCATGTGTGCTGTGAAATGTTGTCTTTGGGATAGAGGATGCTTGCTGCAACCACAAACTCCCATCAGCCCTGGTTATTTGTACAAGGCCCAAGCAAGATCAAACCAGCATAGAATAGGTGGATGATTCCCAGCTCATACTCCTTACAGCGGAGCTGTTGACAGTGGGCAGCATCCAGGGGCGGAAGAGGGATTCTTCTTTGAAAATATGATGGCAACTGATAGGTTTCCCATGTTCCCAGGGATGGTCCCACATCTATAAACAAATAGGTGGCCCTAGCTGAACTCAATGCTCTGTAAAATAAAAAAGTCAGAAACTGTGGCGTGGGAACTCTATGGGTAGAGTTAGAAATAATGGGGCTGGGCTGGATATAAGTATTTTCCATTGTATCCCTGTATGATATTCTCAAAAGTAAAGAAAAATTAAAAATATGTTTTGAATAATGACTTGACCAGGTACCAGCAAAAGCTCCTATCCTAGAACATAACTCAACACTTCATCCAACAGTGATGTCTGTCAACTATGCAATAGAGTTTTTCTGTAAGCCCGTGTCTGCATTTTAATTAAGAATCATCTTGGTAATAGTAGCAAACAGACATTGTTTTGAATAGTACACAGTTTGTGCCATGTGTCACACTAAATCCTTCATTTATATTATCTTGTAAATCTTCAATAGTACAATACACCATGATGTCTGCATTGTTTCTTCAGTAGAGAGACTGAACGCTATAACAAGGTCTTTAGGACGTTTCAGAGTCAGGTACTGTTTGTTTCCAAACTCTCAACTCAAGGACTTTCTGGTGAGGATGCAAGAAAGATTGTAGGATGCTAAATTCTTTAAGAAAATACTGTTCAAGATTTGAACCTTTACTACTTTGTTTAAGCCAAACCCTAGTAATTGGCCAACCTACAGGCTGGAAGACAGCTCTTGGTGAGAATAACAACGGATGTCCCCTCTCCTAGAACCTGTTCTGCTACTTCTGCATGTCAGTGTCGTAGGCTTCAGGCTACAAGTCTTTGCAGTAGAGCAGCTTCAGGAAAATCCTGAAAAGTTCTGTGTCCCAGACTGGTGTGGCTTTGAGCTCTATGTTGGTCTAGGAAGTAGAATGAACTCATTTGCTTGCTGCCACAGACAACTACCCGCCTTAGCTCTGTGTTTCTCTTAATTGATGTCTCTTCTCATTTGCTGAACTCCTCTGAACAAGGACACTTCATGAACACACGTAGCTTCCCTCCTTTCCAATTGATGGGTGATCTGATCGATGCACTGGTAACTTTCAGGTCAGATGCAGTTTCGTTTGGACCTATGAGGTAGCATGTAGATAGAGACACTTGCACCATAGAGCTGAATTATCTGCCTTGGGAACTGCTTTGGTAACAGAGCAGCGGATGCTATATTCGTTTTTTTCCTCTCAAAAATCTTTGCTTGATCTCTGAAGTACAAATTCCTACCAGACTGAGCACTTGGAAGGGGACCCAGATTCCCACACCTGACTTGTGAATGATTCAATCTGACTTCCTTTCAAACACAAGGCTTTCAGGAAAATAAACTTTATGAATATTCACTTCCCCTTTGTATATTGAACTTGTATGAACTTCATTTGCAGAGAAAACAAATGGTAATAGGTTGGTGCATTTTGCTAAGTCAGGCAAATTCTTTAATTTTATTATTTGGTTTTCTAGACGTCTTGTCCTCCACCAAGTCTAGCTCTCGATCTCTCATTCTCCCTGGCATTCTTCCCAGAATCGGAGGCAGTTTTCAAGGGACTCTACATTCAGTTTTTCATATTCAGCAAGGCCACACACCATGGTTTCACTGAATATCAGGATGTACAAAAGTGCCAGAAAGTCCCCTTCAAAAGCCAGGTCAGGTTTCTTTTGGTGATGTCTGTTCCAGTGAAGGCAGGGTATTAATGAATTCACTAGACCCAAGATAAATGATAAGTGGGTGTTTTATTGGGGAACAACTTACACAGATAATAAAAAAGATCCATCTCCGCCTTCCTGCTCTACAAGATGCAGTCTTTACCCTTCTGGTCAGATCCCTGACCTGAGAGAGAGAGAGAGAGAGAGAGAGAGAGAGAGAGAGAGAGAGAGAGACTGTCTCTGCATGCTTCACCACCAACTCGTCACTACACACTTGAAATCATGCCAAAAGGGGCGTGGCCACTAACACAGATTCATTGGCAAGGCGAGATGCCGCTACCTTCCAGTCCTGCTGCTGTCTTGATTTCTGTTGGGTCTCTGTGATCTGTGCTGGGATCCTTGGCTGAGGTTTAACTGAGAGGCACATTGCAGTGTCAGCTCTTGCTCTGATCTTCTACATGGATGATTTCTCTGGGACCTGATAGGGAAGAGAACATAGCAATCAGTATGAGCAAGTTCACTGGAATCTGGAGTATGTGAGGGTTGGACATGAAATCTGTCCACCGATGGCGGGAGGTGTGGTCCGGGACTTGTGAGTTCTCGGGACTTTTATGACATAAGCTTCCAAAGTTCCTGGCTGTCTGGATCTTCTTTCTCAGTGTGCTGGGATTATTAATTCAATGGCATTACTTCAGAAAGGCCTTTCTCAGCCATTACATATAAAATAAGAAACGTCACTTTTCATCCTCTTAGCTCAGTGGCTTTTAAAATCATTTGCCTAATACCCACTGTTGGAAATACATTGTTGGTTGTGAGCTGCTGTGATGCGTAGAGATGACTGCAACAAGGATTCTTTAAAAGTGTTTGTGATTCTTATGAACAATGCATTATGACCCAGTTCATCTCTTCTCCAATATATCACATTCCATTCTACACATTCCATTCTAATTATGATTATTTTGATTCATTAAAATATATGAGTACATGCCATGTGAGTACAACTGAGCATCGTCATTAAAAACTTCCTTACCCTACTTGGCCGTTTTTTTGTTTTGTTTTGTTTTGTTTTAATAACATGCATTCTACATTTTCTTTTTGTTTTACAATGTAAATTTGTTCTACGCTTATATTTCATTTGTACAATGTGAAACTAAGTCTTTTTTTTCTGCAAAATGATAAGGTCCCAAAGGACTATAAAAATTTTACCCTTTTACCAAGCTCAACACAGTTATAACTGCAATGTTGAGAATCATATAATAGGAGCTCAAAATGTATTAGCTGAGTGATTGAGTACATGCAGCAATTGCTCATGGAAGAAAACAATTGCTTCCAAATAGCTTGGTGAAGTTCTGGGGGCTCTATCACTAGGAAGGGTGAGTGTCCCTATTGCAATGTTACAAACAGAGCTACCAGGCTTTGCTGCTCACAAGGTTTAGGCATTTTAAAGACTGCACGCAAGCCTTTCTTTAGCATCTGTCTACTTATAGTTTGGGAAACATTGGTGGTATTTAGGTTATAGCTCAGAAAATAAAACACATCTGGCAAAAGACAGCCGTAGGAGATGCTGAGCGCAGTCTACCATAGGCTTGGGGCTAGTCATTGTGTTCTCTGAGAGTGGGGCATTGACCCACATGGTGGAAAGATCCAGGCTATTTAGAAAGGTGTGGTTCTATTTGGGCAGCAGGAATAGTCCAGTCCAAAGATGATGGTTTAATAGTTTTTTTCCCAAGTGAGTGGGCTTTTGTTACTTTCTTTTTAAGATAAGGTCTTGCCATGTATCTTTGTCTGGAATTCACTATGGAGACCAGCTTGGTCCCAGATGTGTGGCATGTTTCCTGCTTGTGCCGTCTCCATGCTGGGGTTACAGTTATGTGCCATCGTGGCCAGTTGCAGCACTTTTTATTATGAGCTTTGTTTCTTGGAGCCTGTCATCCCTAAATTCTGAGATAAAATTGCCCACTGCATCGAGGTGTTTGGAGGACCAGACAAGACAGCAGAAGGCCAGCATCACTTTTACTTTCTTGTGGCTGGAGGAACCAGTGATGCACCATTGAGGCTGCTGAGCATTCCAGGATGATCAAATTCACAAAAGTTAGATGCTAAGTCAACATTATCAGCCACCACTACTATGACTACATCCATAGTCCTGGAGACAGTAAGATTTATCACAGAGGTATGCGCACCATATACTTACTTATTGAAAGTAGTATCTCACCTTTTATGGGGTGTGATTTTTAATTTGTTCCTAAGTCCTGGGCTCTTCTCATTTTGCTTAGATTTCCTCCAGTATGTAAACTATGGGGCAGAGTTGGGTGCTCACTGCTTCTAACTGCATAGTGCCATGCACCACAGGGAAGGGTTATGTCTCCATCACTTTGGCCTCATGGGACCCCTTGCTTTCACTTGCTGTCTTGCTGCAGTTGCATCTTTCCCAGCTCGCTCTCCTCTGTAGGCGGGACATTTGGGAAGCAATCGGTGCAGTATTTTTAAACCAGAAAAATGTTTCAACACTGCTGTTCAACAGTTCTTCAGCTATTAAGACGGTTCTTGTACATTTGCCAGACTCACAAGTGACTGGCTGTCTTTATTCCCCTTGCCTGCTGGGAAATGAAAAGCACAGAGAGCCAAACTTCAGGTGGCAGATTCTTGGGAAGGTGTCACATATAGCCCTAGAAATATAAGAAGCACATTGTCTTGACCCCCGAGGAATGTCAGAAAGGGCTTCGTTTGGCATGCCTTAAACAAACCCGAGAAATGGAAAGGCTCTGAATATCAGTGACCTCTGTGAGGTTGTCTCAGTCCACCTATGCTGGTCTTCCATGGAAGGTGTCTCGAAGTCTTCTGGAATCCAGTGGGAAGTCCCCCTATCAGCATGCCCAAAGGTTAACAGTGTATGGATCAATGAACCAAGAACCACAGTAAGAAAGCAGAGCTGATCGTGCCATCCTGTGAAGATTCATCTCTGTGGTGTCCTCTCTGAGATCAAAGGGACAGAAGAGACCATCCTGTCACTCCTGCTGTAAGTGGCCTTTTCCATGGAAGGAATCTGAGTTTGTTCTCACTTGTCACTGCTGGCTAGGCAGATAGTTTTTCTATTCTCTTGTTTGCCTTTTAAAGGTACTGATGGTAGAACCCGGAGCTTCATGTAGGTCTGACAAGTTCCTTATCATTGAGCTACAACTCCAGTCCTCTCTAAATTCTACAGAGTTCTGAGGCAGGGTCTCTTTCAATCACCTGGGCTACACAAGTTGGAAGTGTCTCATAACTTCCCTATGCTGTTTCCACAGATGCAAAGGGAGAAAGAATATGGGTACCTATGAAAGAGGCTTCCTATGCTGGTTAAGTCACACTAAGGGACAGTCTGTGTTCAAATCTCACTTTGGATACTTGTCAGCTGTGTATGATGCTGGCAGGCAGTCTCCAGGGTCTGGGCTCCTTGTGTGCAGAAAGGGAATAATGACTATGTCCACACTCTGGTATTGTTATGAAGTCAAATGTAACAATGCATGTAAAATGTTTTAGCTTGGAACTTTTTCAGAATGAGTCTTGTACAGATGTCAACCTTCATTAGCTCAAGCAGTATTAAGGATGAGGCTTATAGAAGGTGGTCCTTAATCTGAAGTTCTTTTGTCTCTATTCACTCGGGGGCCTTATTTCTTATTAATCACTTGCTAATGAAAACTTTCCTTAAGTAAAGTTTTAAGCAAATCTGTCAGAAATTCTGATAGATGTTAATGTTCATGCCTTTCTCTCTTGTCACCTTTCCTGGGAACCTCTGTCAGAATCATTTTGGGACAAGAGTCCCTTTTTTTTCAGATAACCATGCTTGAAGGAGAGCATGGCCTGTAACAGCTTTCATTAGCAGTTCAAGATAACTGTCACAAGGGTTTGGGAGTTGAGATCGGAAGGACTCTGACAATTACAGTCATAGAGAAGGTGAATTTCAGTGCAGCCCTGTGGTGTTATCTTGCTTGTACAAATAAAGCCTGTCTGAAGATCAGGGGATGGAGTT